TGATGATGTCAAAGGTAAACATGCAAAGAACAGCGATCAAATGTGTATGATGGAATGACATCTTCACTAGTGGGGAGGAGGTCTTGGGTTCAACACCCAACCAAGCAAGTTTTGTGAGTTATTTCCTCACAAGATCTCTGGACAGCACTGAGTACTCGGTGCAGATAAATGTCCTCATTGAAAGGCAAAACCCAGTATCTTACATCTACATGTATGTGGGCCATAGAGCTATATTAAAATACTAGAGCGCTAACTCATCATTCTTGCGTGCGGAGATACTTTGCAGCCGTCCTGGGCGCAGACATTTTGAATTTATATATATGCGTGTTTTTACAACGAATGAAGTTAGATGGAGTGAAGTTTGAAAGTGAACTCTGAATGCAACGTAAGCACGTTGGGACGTTAAAAAACACCACAGCAAAAATCCTCTACAGCGGATTCCCTCGCACGTTTGCATTGTTTGCGCAGAGCAAAATGAAACACTCATTTATTGATTGGTGTGTTTTCGGTTTTGGGCGTATCGGCTTTGATAACGCACCGGTATAGAATACAAACGCAAATAGCCATACAAAAAGCCGTACAAAAATTTGAGTTTTCCCATAGGTTTGTGCACAAATATGGATGCGCCCAGCAGGCCAATCACTTTGTGCATCGAGTCAGCACTCCAGTAATTTAATATAGCTCCATGATGTGGCCCACATTGACTGCAGACATAAGCCGTAGCTCTGGATGGCAATTTTGGACACAGTTTACGTTTTGCTTGATTTCATCCTAGCACGTAAGATGGAGGTGATCAAGGTGACGGAGGCTCTCATAGATGTCATCAACAACGGAGACTTGAAGGATACACGTAAGACACAGACCTGATGTCATCTTAGGAGTTTAAAATCTGTTTCCGACTCGTGTTCCAGAGTCGCGATGAACCTAAGCAACATTAAGAGCAACCCCAGTGATCGAGATAGACTTATGGTTTCTTACAGTCAATATTTATACATTAATTTTCCATTGACTAAAGTGAGGTCTGAAATCAAGATGCTCTGAGAACGTTCTGAGTGACTGCACTGATCCTTGCATGTTTGGTCGCTCCTCGCTTCTTCAAATGTCAAGCCTTTCATGCACTTAATTCAAATCTCAGGAATAATTTTGCTTGGCATGTCTCTGGAAATTCAGTCAGAAATGGAAGTTATTTCCTTTTGTATCAGAGAACGATCAACAGAATTAGTGAGAGGTAGTGGCATGTTTTTACTGGATGTCAACACTGTTACAAGGACTTGAAATGTCAAGCAATTTGGAATTAAATAGTCCAGCAGCTGATTTCACGAACCAGTGCGTAACTTACGCCATGTGTAGGACTCATGCAACAAATTTGTTGAGTAGCTATGCAGTAAACTTGAGATCGATTTCACGAAGCTTGGTGTAGCTGCGTATGTTTCAAATAATCTATGCATCTTGGACCAGGTTAATACATGTATTTATTTTAACGGCTGTTATATGTATGTTTGTTGTTTGTTCATGAAAAATTTGTTGAATCACCTCAGCCCCGCCATTTTGAAAACAATTTTTTCCGACTTTCTTCGAATCGTGTTGCGACTCTTAAAACTCTTAAAACTCTGTTGCGAGTAAAATAGCAATCACTTCACCTCAAACATTAAGCTGTGAGTGTCTTTTATCAACCTTGATGAGTTGTGCAATAACAGGCTCCACAATGATCCGATTTGCTTGTAAACTAGGTCATTTTCAGTCACTACGCCACAGCTTACACCTCCTAAAATGATTGCGCATATACATGTAGTTACGCCATAAATTGTTGCACAAGTCCAGACTGACACATTATGAAACATTCGGGAAATTGTAATAACTGAAATGTTGCGCAATGTGGAATGTTGCGCAACTTACGCAATAAATTGTGGCACATGTGGACTTATGCCATTGCGAAAGTTTTTGTGAAATTGGCTGGCGCTGCAGGTATCGGATACCTGACCAAAAATGGCTATATTTTGATCTTATGTCCAACTAGAGGTACCTAAAATTACTTCTAGAAACACATCCCTAATTAAAAATTGAACTCTTCATTTCTTTATCCATTTCCTCAGAAAACTGTGTGATCCGCATATGACCTGCTTTGAGCCAGAGGCGTTCGGCAATTTAGTGGAAGGCATGGATTTTCACAGGTTCTACTTTGACAACGGTACGTTGCTTTCCCGTTACAATCCAGTGCTGACAATTGCCGGTTTTGTGTAACAAGTGTAACACCTGGTTTTATTTGTCCTGTCCCCATGTAGTTGATGTTGGCTGTGTGATTTGTAATCATGTAGTTGATGTGAAGTTGAAGTCAAATTGTTGTAGAGCCATCATGTGTTGAAAGGTGGTCCAGGTTAATGAAATGCACTTTTTGGTTCGATGAAGACGATTGACTATGTGAGATTAGAACCTGCAGCCTTTTGAGACAAAAGTCACTAGTGCGCACTGATCTTGTACCCAACCTTAGAGCTTCTATACATTTGTAATATTCGCATACATTAGGTGATGTAACCAATATAGTATACCAATTTGTTTGTAGTACTTATTCTAATAATGAAATATATTTCATGGACCCTGTAAAATTGAGTGCAAAACTCCTGTGAAAAAGTACAACTTTCCAAACTTTTAGGTTGTATCAAAAGTTTTTTTCAGAATTATAACCTTTTTATGTCAAACTCTTCTTCAAAAAATGTTTACATTTCAGTCCATATTGAAAAAAATTGACTGGATCATGTACCTGTACTCCCCATCTATTGGCAATTTACACATTTTATAACAGAATTAAATGAAAATTGTAATTTATCAATATGCTTTTTACAACTGAGATAGTTGCACAAATGAATTTTTTTATTAAGGAAAACTACTCCTGATTTTGTTTATGTGGATAATTCCTTCATTTCATTCTTTTGGAAATAATCAAGATTTTGTGACCGAGGGTGTGCATTTCACCGTTTTTGTGTCATTGAGATGTCAATTATTGTATACGCTTTCCATCCATTTGTAATGTTCACAGTTCCTGTTTTCTCAAAATGGATGTTGGTATGATAGTCTTGTCTGGCGCCCAATGGACCACGTACCCAAACCACTCACAATATGATCACAGCACCTGACCGTTCCCATTTAGTTGAAGTATGAAATGCGCTTTTGTTAAACATTCTCCAGAGGAAAAAAAGATTCTGATTTCATTTTTAGGTTAATTCGCAATGCAATCAAACAAGATTTTGGAATTACATGTACTACAAATCATGCTATATTATGTGTTACTCTCTCCAGTATCAAAACCTGTTCTCTATTTTATTTTTTTAAAGAGAGTTTGTTTATACTAATTATTTTTTGTTTTGTTTTAAATTTTGCAGATCTGTCGGGTAATTTTTATTCTGAGTGAATCTCGGCTCAAAATACACATATGTTTTTTGGCGTACAATTTCAAAATATGAAAAAATTGTTTGCTTGAAATACCAGATATTTAAAAATATTCTTCACTCATTAATCTTTGACCGTTTGGTGGCTGAAGTGCCAAAAAAAAGAAAAGTGAAAGTCTTCTGAAAATGCAAAGAATTATAATTTGTGCAAGTCTAGCTTTGAAGTACTGGTCAAAACAAATGTGGGCTTGTAGCACTTCTTTTGAAGTTTCCCAGCAGGCTTTCATAAAATGTTTTTACAGACCTATGCAAATTCTACTCTTCATTAAAAAAATACCACAGTTACTGGCTATAATAAGGCAAGTAGAATGAGCCATGCAGGTAGTCAGGACAAATCTGTGGCCAGAAGCCTGTCTTTGTTTTGCAGAATTATGAAAAACATGGATTAGGTTTCAGTATGGATAACATACGCGTTTTTTAGGTTTTTTTTGTAGGCCGTACTGACCAATTCTCATCACACTTTGTGTAATGAAGTTATCAGGAGAGAATAGGGCCACTGGCAACCATTTGCATGAACACAGCATTGATATCGATGTGGAATGCATTAAATGTGATGTCACCTCCCCCTAAGTTCGGTATGAGACTCGGTAAGTCACTTGGACGGACGTTTATGCTTTGGAGCTGAAAGATATGTGCAAAGTAGAACATATAAAAACTCAGATTACAAAAAATAGTACCACAGTGCTTAGTTACAAATACCTAGCATATATGAAAAACTGTTACCCTTTTCTACCAACTTTTGCCCCCCTTAATTTAAGCCCAGTTTCAAGGCACATGATTTGCTGCCACTGTACATATCTAAGAGGGGTCTCACCAGTAAGGCAGGGCTAGAGCAAACTCACTTTAGATGAAGCATTGGCTGACAAAACAAGGCAAGCCGAGAGCACATGAAATTCTATTCAATCGATTTAGAATCGCTATTCACTGGAAGTCTTTCATATGTGTTCCACACAGTAAGCCGAATTGTTTCCGTGGTCCAGCCATCATATTCTGTGCACAAAACATTTTAAAACTGTCATATCTGTGGTTCAACTGAGTCAAACTTTTGGCAAAGGTTAGGCTTAAAGGTAGAGTACATAATTGCATCTATCCAAAAAGTAACCTGACACAATTATTGTTGAAAAGCATATTGTAGTGATGACACTAAATCCCTGTGAATTTTTTTTGGCATGCTGTCATTTGAAAAACAATAAAAGACGGTTATTTCTAAGACGCGTTTTGGTAAATTTCCGTTAGAAGTTCGTTATTAATTCGGCAAATGGTGTGTGCGCAAGCTTATAAAACTGCCTAATAAAACGCTCTCTTTGTGTTAACTGTTGAGGAGGTGCGAAGAGAGCACACCTTGTGCAGGTTTTCCGTGGCTCACATCAGGAAATTCCTACTTTCTGACTGACTCTGTCACATATCAATATACAGTTAAGTCAGTTGAAACTAAATATAAAAGATATATACCCCGGTTTGACTTTGCACATTAAACTGTTCATCCAAAGCATAGAGTCCGTGCCAATGGTAAGTGGTAAAAGAGCACCCAGTGAAGCTGAGAACTACTTTTGAATCAACCTCCACCTTTCCACAAACTTCAGTTGAGTAGAATTAGTTGACTCTGCGTTCATGCACAGAGTTTTACATATACACAGAATTGAAATAATAAAACCACTTAATTAGTGGATGGTTGTGGATGCATCTTAAGTTGGTGGATTCGTTCTGAACTTCACTGGTTGACTCTGCCTTTTTCCTTTTGCATTGCATGCCTTGAACCATGAATGACAGGGGGTTTTGTACACCGTGCCATGAAACGTTTCCTCCTCCAGTTTGCATGTCTTGTGTTAATTTCATTATTTGATATTTTGTGTTCCTTGATGTTTACCAATGGAAATGACAAAGAGACTTGTTCTGCTCAGGAATGATAAAAGTTGCGAAGTCTATTTGGTGGTTGCAAAATAATCCTTTCTCTACATTGCAAGTACAAGTTGAACAAATACTAAAAAGCCAGAAAAATCTGCTGTTAATTCAGTATCAAGAAACATACATGCTTATCGGAATGCAGCTCGGTTAAAAAAAAACCAATGTAACCTGAGCAGGAACTGTGTCTTTTCATTTTTGTTTTCCTTGGAACAAGTTTAAATACAAATTGACTCTGCATGGAATGTTTTTTTTTGAAAAAACGTCAGGACTTTTTTTCAACTTTTCAATTTTAGAGTTGTGTTGCTTTCCAAAATTTTGGAAAAAGGGACACCACTAAAACAAAATATCAGATGAATTTGATTTTTTAATACCATATTACTTACACCAAACAATGTCATTTACTTCTAGTTTTTGTTTTGAAAATATGAATCAGGATTTGACTCTTTTTTGTTTGATTAAGAAATTATTGCGATCCCTAAAAAAAAAATGTTCTTCTTCAATGTTGTTTGGTGAAAGTAAATGGATTTCTGTAATTAACCTTTAATTGATTTCTATATACATTTACTGATTTGTTTTTCATAATTTGCATGTATTGTAGCAGGATTTTGTTACAACAGCTCGCTCGCCCTGATTCCAGAAAAAAAAATTCTGCCAAATTTCTCAATCAGTTACGCTACTTTCAAAATGATTTTCGTTGGTGGCAGTTTGAAAGCCATCTTTTCCCCGAATAACTCTTCATAATGAGCGAAATGTGTAACAAAGTCACCTGAGTTTTTTAATAGTGCTGTGCCTTTTGAAACTTTCCAAAAATTCAATTGTTAGAGTTTGTAATCGTTCTATTATCGATTCCTTTCTTTGCCTTTGAAAACATTTCCCCCATGTTGTGTTTCTATCAAATCCAATCCTTCCCCTTCAAATGCAGAAGCTTTAGCAATGAATGACACTTCCAAAAAGACCCTACAAGACCTGCATCTCAGACTAACAAACTATTTTCCCTCAAAAAGAGGAAAAATTAACTGCATGAAGAGTGAAACTGCTGTTCTTAACCAGTTTTCTAACATTGAGAACATTCGGCGGCAAGTTTTCTGTAATATTGTGATGTGTCCAACACAGAGATTACTTACTCAAAAAGGGAAAACAGAATTATTAACTTTATAGACAATAGAAAACTTTATAGACAATAGAAAATTGACGAGACAAAAAATTCTGTCCATTACATATTGATAAAATGTTATTTGTCGACATCGTGAAACAAAACTTGAAAAAAAGAAGAAATGGAAAAAGAAAAATTAATTTTCAAAATAAAATTTAAAATAAAAAAAAAAAAAAAAAAATGAACAGCACATTCACTCCAGCTGAGAATAAAATCATGAAAACCTCCAACCCCACCTATCGCAAGACTCCAAAATCCCAAAGTATTCGATAATTGATCGATTATACTTCTCGATTTCTGTCTGAATTTTTTTGTAAAAGAAAACTAGAGACAAACTTTATACATTTTTTGGTTTCAAATTTGGACAAAACAAAAGAGGGCATGGCACTAGTGAACGGTGTACTAAAACCCCTTGTCTGCCTATTGTTCTGGCATGCATTGCTACAGCCTCCGCCCCGTCCTACGCCAGTGGTCCTAGTGTTATCAGTGCTCTAAACATGAAAGAGTCTGAAAAACGCCGTCTGGCTTTTGCCTTTGCAGTACTGTCGAAGAACAACAGAGCGCGCAACACTACCATCCTCCACCCTCACGTTCATCTGATGGCGACGACGCAGCCTGCATTGCCTATGTCCGCCTCACCCGTACATAGACCGGTGAGCGTATTATCTGTTTGTGCTCTTGTAAACAAACGCTGCAAAAAAAAAAAAAAAAACACACTCATTGGAGGGTCATAATTTTGAATCTGATCATCTTGTGATGAAGACTTTATACAGACTTTTTGGGGAATTTTGTTAGCTACATTTTGATACCTCGTTTGCTACCAAAGACTGTAAATCATCCAAGATTGACAACAGCTTATGAAAAATGATGCAGTTTGAAAAGTTGTAAATTTATAGAGTATACGCGAGTGGAAATTGCTGCGTGACAATGTTACACTGCCCGAAACGAACGGCAGGGAATATTGATCGCAAAGTGCTTGTACCGGTATGCATGGGAGCACGCAAAATTGAATTACCCACCGCTTTGTGTGGGGCACCCTGCAGTCGATAAGGGCAAATTATGGGCATGTTTGTCTGCGCTTAGCAATTTCTCCTCGCGTTATCTTTAACTTTGCAACTTTCAAACTGCAACATTTTTTTACAAACCTTTGTTAATCTTGGACGATTTACAGTCTTTGGTAGCAAACGGGTATCAAAATGTAGCTTACAACATTCCCCAATGGTCTATATAAATGACGTTATCATAAGATGACCAGATTTAAAATTTTGAACCCTCCAGTGAGTGTGGACTGTTATTTATTTGGCCCAAGTATGTTTGCTGTTTATAACTGTTGCCTTTGTCTTTTAGTTGAAAGTAACCTGTATGTACAAGTGCAGTTGTCTAAGAGCCAGTTCATGAAGTGTGAACGTCGCGATGAAACAATTGTTGACATATTTGCTTGCTTTGCATGAAGTGTCCGCTGACCCTAAGACTCAAGTCACAAACTAACCTGCTGTAGAACGAATACAGAGACAATGTGCTCGTGTTCGTTTTCAATGTTATGCTATTTCAAACACATGGATCGTTCTCCCCTAGTGTTTTTCCAATTCCTGTTCTTTAAAGCAGACTCTGGATACTTTTTGATAGTTGTGATGATGCTGCAATGCTTTTCTGGACGTAATATACACAATTGTTTTTTAAAGTGCAATTGCTGTTCTTTTTGCAGCCTGCCATTGCCAGGATGCTTTTAGACCGAGCAGGCTTAGTTCTGTGGGGGAAAAATCATTGAAAATATTGGCATTCGGCGGTTCCCTTAATATTGACCAACATCTTGTGGCCTTTCTTCCAGGAACGGCTTACCTGTAACAGCCCAGTCGGAGGAGACGAGAGTTTGGCAACGCAGGGACAACAAGTGGACTAGCATTCACTTTCACCGATCTGGATCTCCGAGTGCCCCCTCCAAATAGCCACACACCCAGAAAAGTTTCTTCTTACCACCACCCAACCGTGTCCCCTGATCCACCTGTTGAATGAGCGCATCCCTTTAAAACAAAGTAGATGTGTTCTTTGGTACAGTCACAGGGTCGGTTCTTTAAAGGGGTTTTTGCCAGAGGGAAGAGAGGTTTTCTCAATTGGGAGAAGGAAAAAAATGCAAAAACCTAGCCAAGCCATTGCATTATTGAGATCCAATCTCATTATTGTGTAATCTTCAAAGCAATGGCTTTCGTTTTTGTCTTTTGTGTCGGATTCAGTCAGAGTATCGTCTTGGCATTTGAGCCAAAACTGAGGATGACTGACTGGTTGTAGTGAATTTTTTTCAGTTTCTCGGAGATTGGTTTGGAGGAGTTGGATCAGTGGATGAAGCCCTTGGGCTGAATATCCAAAAGGATATTACATTTTGGACAGGAAAAGTTTGGATAAGTTTTGAAAGCCTTGGGCGGAATCAAAACGAATGGTGTCCACTTTTTGAAAGGAAGAGATGTATCAGTGCTGACTAAAAGTAGCCTGAAGCGAGCTGAGAGTCTGTTTTTCCGCGTGTTTAATCTTTGAGATCTTGAAGTGGCAATTTTTCCGGGTGGGTAGGTAGGTTGGTGTTTACCAATTTTTTAATCCTGTCGTGTCTGTCATAGTATGTATACAGCCCACTTATGAGGCTTAAATTGAGAATAAGTAGAGATGCTTGAAACTATTTTTTTTAGTTACGTATTTAGTTTATCCTCATGATCATTGCCCGTCTTTCCATATTTTCCTGGCGCTCTTCGGCACTTTTCTTGTTTAGTGATCCTTAATCATCTCAATCCCTCAATTGTACCATCTCGTTTCCTTCGTGTTTTCCATACCTACATTATATTCAAATATCTTCATTTTTTGTAATTTTTTGATTTTTTTTTCTGGTTTGAATTTTTTTTTTGTAAGCCCAGTGAACACCGTTGTTTTGCAGAGTCTACCAGTGCCGTACCTAATCGTAACCTGTCTTGGTTTGCTTTCCAGTAGTTGAAAACCCGTCCTGTGTTGGTGTATTTATTCCTACCTGTTGAAGGTTTTCCAAGCCCGCCCTAAATTTAGCATGGTCATAGTGTATGGAAATACCCAAACGCCACATTGTGTTTGCCCCTAACAAGTTGGGAGCTATCTCGACGTTTCTAACAAAAGATATTTTCCCATAACTTCATCAATGCACCATATGCAACTGTAGTTTGTGGTATCATCGTTGCTTTGTTCTTTTTGTTTTTGTTAGAAGAGGAGTATAGTCATTGGTTATATTGGATATCAGGTCATGCCTTTGAAGTTTCTGCTTGTAATTTAAATCACTGTAATACAGCTGTAATTGTGTAGGTTAGCTGACAACTTTCCGATATCAGGTGGCTTGACATAGATTTTGGCCACTAGGCGCCTATTTGTATATTTGTTGAGCTGTATTATGCAAAAAAAAAACACGAGTGGACATTTTATCATACCAATGTAAGATTTTTCGATAAGACGATTGAAATTAGAGAGATCGCTTTTGTGATGAGGGGTTGTCGTTTCAATTTACCTTTTATTTGTACATTTTTGCTGCGTGTGTAATGAAATGGGATTTGGTTTTTCTTTTGTTTTCATATTTTTTTTTTTTTTAAACTTGGTAGACTTCTTGTTGCAGTGCCTGTGTATGGAATCAAAAGAAGCAAGTTTAGGTGCGGAACAGTTGAAGAAAGGACAGAAGCGATAAAAGTTTCTGGTCAAAAGACGGAAGGGCATGTTACGGTGATTTTGATTGATTCTTTGAAGAAGGAGCTATAGAGAAAAGTACATGCTTTAATGTACAGTTAAGATAAATTTGATATATTTAATAATTGCGTATATATGTAAAGAGGTCAGATCGGGGTACTAATTAGTAACCTAGAAAGCTACACAGC